AAAAAGATTTTATTTATTGGAAAGCGAGCACGAGTTGGGGGAGGGGCAGAAGGAGAGGGAGAGAGAGAATCTCAAGCAGATTCCGTGCTGAGGGCAGAGCCTGACGTGGGGCTCGATCCCACGACCCCGAGATCATGACCTGAGCCAAAACCAAGACTCTGATGCTTAACCGACTGCACCACCCAGGTACCCCGATTACGATGCATTTTTTAAAAAATAGATACTAGGGACAAAAGAACTGGTATAGTGAACACATCTTTTTTACAGCTATTATTTGAAAGCGTATTTGTTTTATAACAGATTGTAAGTAAAAACCTAAGTGAGGAGGTTTCAGGGGAAATGTTCTGGATGTGGTACTTTGCAGGTCACCGAGAGAGCGAGTCTGGGGAGCTGTGCTGGCCAGGGAGGCGGTGGGGCCGGGGGAGTCCGTGTGCCCGGGACCGCAGCCGGTCCCCTCAGCCCCTGGGCCACAGGGGCATCCACCAGCTACCTCATCACACCTTCCTCCTTTTCTGGGCTACTTGTGGCCTACGGTGGGGAAGGTGTTCAGTGCGGTGTTGCAAACAGGAAACAATGAGAACAGCCTCCGTGAGCCCGGCGGGGAAGGAAATGGTAGTAAGGCGGTGTGGCCGAGCTTCCGGTGGTCCTGAGGATGCTCGGTGCGGCCTGTGTACACAGGGGCGGGGCTCCCTGCAAGCCCAGATTCGGAAACACAGGGCCGGCTGCCAGAGCGAGAGTTGAGGGTTTCATCTGATTTCTGTGTTGTTTTCATGGTGTGGCTGTGTTGCATTTAGAATTAAAAAGCACGTCTGTCCCTCAGGTAGCAACTTTAATTCATTCCTGCTGAGTGGAAACATATGTCTGTGAGATTTATTGGGAAAGCTAAGCATTCTATCCCAGCTCGAGATACTCGCACATTTTTCACAGAAGGAAGAATAGATCAGCTGAGCGCTGACCAAAGATGCAACAAGCACAGCTTGTACATAAGACGTAATGTGGGGACGGCTTGTCGCACCCCCAGGGAGAGAAAAGGAGCCACGGCGGGCTGTGCGGGGCAGGCGAGGCACTTTGTTCTCAGGTGCTGTGTGCTGAGTCGTGCTGGAGCTCGGAGAAACATCAGGAGTCCTGACCCTGTCTTTATTTAAAATGCTGCTATTGGGTTCATCATGCATTTTTTATGTTACTTTTAATTTAAATCACATGGAAGTATTACTTATCTTGCTTATAAAGATTCTTGGTGCCCCTTTTACATTGTGTCCCAGGCAAGTGTCTTACTTGGCCTCGCCCTGATCCTGGTCCTGACCCAAGCAGTCATTACATGAGGCAGGTCTGTGATGAATATATAACACATTTTTTCAACCATTGATTAAGATCTTCCCCACTTGCAAAGAAATAAAAATTTAAAAAAAGAGAGTGACGGCTCTGCATATGTTCTTTCGTCCACCTGGAAAACCACACAGCCTTCCGTGCCCCGTCTCACTGCCAGGACCCAAGAGCCGCTGCTTGCGGGGTGGAGGCTGCCATCTGGGCCCTGGCATCACATGGTTAGGGGTGCTCTTGCTAGCACTAAGAGCAGCCTTCGTCCCTGAGAGGACATTTTGAAGGCATAAAAATTTCTCACTTGGGAAAAGTCTCACCCGGCAGGCCTCAGAGGGAGGGCTGGGGCCCTCAGGCTTCTGGGAGTTTCTACTTCTGAGCCAGGAAGCCACCCTCAGGCTGTACCAGGTCCTCCTGGTGGTTTAAGATCTGAGCATTGCATCTGCGTGCACTGCAACCGGGGCTTCGTCGCCCGCCTTCCTCCTCTGGGGAGGGAGGGGGATCCTGCACCAGGGTCTAGGACACCGGGCTGGGGCCCCGAATCTGCACTGGCTTTGAGCCAATCACCGAATCCCTCAGAGCCGCAGTTTGCTGACCGGTCTGAATGAGAGCAACACTACCAACCACCCAAAGCTCATGTAGAAATTCCATGGGGCGCCTCGGAGGAAGTTCCCACCAGGAGTGGCAGCTCAACCAATGTGAATTTCACTGTGAATTTCCATTCTTTCCTGGAAGATAGAACAGGGACAATTTGGGGCATACTTTGTAAGCTTTTCTTCTTTGTAGCATGTTGGAGATCTGCATGTGTTCCTTATGTTCCCTCCAGATCCCTTGGCCCTCAAGGGTCACCAAACCTTGTTGATTTTACCTCTTCAGTAGCCACCGATTCCCTTCTTTGTCCCCTGTCCCGGCCCCAGGACCGGGCCTCACCTCCAGCTCATTCTCGCTCCCTGTTGGCATCTTCCAGGCAGATACTGACCCTGGGCCTCCTGTCCCTGAAAGCCTCAGTGCAGGCACTTGTTCTCAGGCACAGCCTGCTGTGTCCCCTGACACCGGAGCCTGTCCTGTTCTGTGGGCACCTGGCCCACCACCTCCTGGCCTCCCATGCGTTTCGCTGTCGCTGTGCCACTGGGTTCTAGTTGTGAGCTGAGATACTAAGTGCGGTCTCTGGCTTATTCCATGAAAGGTACATGCCTGCCGCTTTCCTTTCTTCCCCTCCTATGGGCTGGAACGAGGGCGCAGTGGCAGGAGCTGGAGCAGCCATCTTGGACCATGTGCTTAAGACTTCCCTGCAGCCAGAGGGGAAGGTGGGAGGAGAAAGGCCAGGCTGCCCCTCCCCGCAAACCTCCATTTTGTTCATGGCTGTGCCCTCTACCTGAGGCCACAGCCTGACAGGTGGCCCCCCTTTTACAGGGGCAGCACTATGTTCCACCGACAGCCCCTCCAGTCAGGGCTGTGGGCTCCCTGTGGCTGGTCCCGACACCGCACCAGCCTCAGTGGACACCTTCACTGCACCGTCCTTGGGTGCTGCTGTGGGTGCCAACCTGAGCTCCCTCCACCCTCGAGTCCTGTCCTGAGCCCTCTTGCCGCAGGACCTGTGCACCCCACTGCGTTCATCTTTCTGCTCTCCCGCAGGACCGCCTCTGGGCTGGTCCCCTGTGCTCCCATCGCCCTTCTTCCTGCCCCCACAACTGTTGGGCACTGGAGTGGCAGGTTTGTGTCCCTCTGTCCTCATTTTAGGGGGCAGCCCCAGGGCCTGCATCGTGCCTGGTGCAGCAGGCCTTCCCTCCCTCAGCCCCTCCCTCCCTCATTGGACAAGTTTGGAGACCGGAGGCCTAATGCAAGCCCACACACACCCTCCTGCAGCTCAGTTCTGATGGAGGGACAGAGCTACTGTGTGGTCAAGCAGAGCACAGACCCTGTCAGATACAGCAGGTGGGGAAGGAGCCAGGGTGGGTGTGCTGGCTTTAGACTAGGTGGTTAGGAAAGGCCTCCAGGGTGGCCAGCAGGGAGGCTGGTGTGTGTGGGCTGGTGGACACGGGAGGAAGAAGGTGAAGGCAGGGGGGCCACGGGCGGGTTGTGAGCGAGAAGGGCCACCTCGGACTCAACACGCCCTCCTGTGGCCGTGTGGGGAAGGCAGGAAGGACAGCCCCTGAGGAGGGCGCTGTCGCCCTCTGGTGGGAGGGGAAGGCGGCAGCAGTAGGGCCGGAGGGAAGTGGCCTGTAGCCCTACCCTGGAGGCGGAGGTGGAGGCAGAGCCGACCAACGGCGGACACAGAAGTGGAGGAGGATGTGCAGAGCCCTGGGCCCCGCAGCAGGAGAGCTGAGACGGGCAGGTGGCCGAGTGGAGCCGCCCGGGTGGGGCCACAAGGGGGGGCAGCAACCATGGAGTCTGGAGGTGGGGGCGGCCCCGGCCAAGTCGGGAGGAGAAAGCACGCGTGCAGTCTTCTCCGGGCACAAGTCCCCAAGAACGGCAGAGGGAAAATCCAGTCCCTACCCCCTGGCTTGGGTCAGATGACTGGCTCAGCCCAGACAGCAATAGTGGCCTGCAAGAGGGCCTGCTGTTCTCTGTCCAGGGAGCGCTGTGGTCTCGGATCGGACAGACGGACGACACCACCGTGCAGAAAACACCCGGTTTATTAGGATTAGCTGTGGCATACATGGTTCCTTTGATAGTTCTGAACTGATCGTGAGTCCCCAGTAACCATACACACGGAGGGATGCGACTGAGCTGCAGAGACAGTAACTGGCAAACTGCTTAGAAGATCACGGTGACCCGAACGGGTGTATGTTAGTGATTGGTGAGAGAGAGAAAAGGTAGCGTGGGACCTTGACACGGGTGCAGAGCAGAGCAGGCAGGTTTTCCTGGCATCCTTCGGTGCTCTCAAGGCGTGCCCTGGTGCCCCCCAGAAGCTGGACAGGGGACCCGTGACCACCCCCATCCCTGCAAAGGAGCAAACCCCCCCATTCCCGCTGCAGGGGACATCTTTTCCTAGAGAGACTGTCAGGCATGAACCCCATGGTTTCTGTATGGACCAGCATGACTCCAGAGGAAGGTGATGCACCCACGTCAGTGCTGGGGCCTAGGGTCCCGATAGGTGCGCGTCTCCTGGGTCCTTCCTCTCACCTTCTCGAGGCCGGGCCAGGTATGACCTCGCTTCCCTTCCAAACTCAGCTCCTCGTCGGGGTGAAGGCCTGACTCTGAAGCTCCCAGTGTCAGCACGGAGCCGTCCTCACTAAGAATGAACTCGAGACTCGCACAGCTCCCCCAGGACAGGCGGGCCCATGGCCCTGGTGTGGCCCCAGGTGGGACTTCACACACAGCTGGTGTCTGCCTCCCACACCTGCTCCCATTCAGCGGCTGGTGTGGCCATGTCCCTGTCCCCTCATATATTAGGAGACAGTCCTGCTTCCAAATAATTCTTTTTTCTTTTTAGTATAGGCAATTTTTTAACCTTTAACCAGATATGTAAAGGTGACTGAATTTGTCTCTGTCAGAGCTTTCATATAAATAAATCCATGAATCCAAATGATTCCCGGTCAAACCATGTGCCTGATATTTAATTTGAGAAATGACTGAGCCGGCACATGCTCTGGGAGAGGCGGCGGGGGCGGGAAGCACGGCGACTTTGTGTGACCCACGCTATCACAGCTCTGAGGGAGAATTCTGGGTTCAGGGACGTCTCGAGGTTTGGGGGCTTTGTGGGTTTGTGGGTGGCATTTCTGCTTTTCCTCAGCTGAGGAGCAGAAACATTCACACAGTGGCACAGTTGGAATAGGCGGGGGCTGGCCTTCTCCCTCAGCGCATTTTTTACATTTTTCTCATCCAAAGAGAAGCCAGAGAAGTGAGATGGGGCAGTGAAAGTCTCTGTCTGTGGCCATGGGCCCTGCCCGCCCCCACCAGAGGGGCAGGGGAGCACAAATCTCAGCCCCCAGGCCGGCAGGACTTTCCACTGGGGGCCGGGGTCTGCCCGCTGGAGGGTGACTAGCGCTTGGCTACACCATGGTGTGGTCAGGGCCCCTGGAAGGAGAGCAGGGGGGACCCCCTCTCTGGGGACCCGGAGCAAGCCCCAGAAGAACAGGGCGTGGGTGAAAGGCAGCAGTTCGCACCGCTGAAGGAACACGGGTGGGAGCCCCAACTCCCAGCCTCCAAAGTCAGAGGGCCTGGCAGGGGAGCGGCCGCCTCGTCCAGGGCCTCGAGGCCCCTGGACTGCACCCCGCGGCCGAGCAGGGGCCCCCTCGTGGTTCCACCCCCTCCCAGGGTCATATGTGCACTAAGGAGCCTCTTGAGGTAACAACAGTCCCTTTTGAAAGTGAAAGTCCTCCGGCAGTGGGCAGTGATCCCCATTTATTGCTGGCGCTAAGTGAGGGCCCGGGGCGGGCAGGGTGGTGTTGGCCCCTGAGAAAGGCAGGCCAGGCGCGGCGGGGCCCTCTGCTGGGAAAGGCGGGCCCATGCGGCTGTGGCCTCCGGGGCCTGCGGCCCTGGGCAGGGCCCCCGCGCCAGGACTCTCTTCTTCTGCCACCAGAGGTAGCTGTGCTGCCGGCCCCGAGGCTCCCAGGGCGGCTACGGGCCCAGGCAGGGATAGGCTCGGGGCCCCACTCCCCGGGGCTGCAGCCCAGCGCCTCGACCTCGGGCCCTGCGGCCAGCCTGTCCCCGTCCTGTGCAGGGGCATCAGGCTCCAACGCCTTCAAGCCCCCCCTTGGTCCCACCCACCCACCTAAATAGTCTCTGCTTTAGAAGATACATTATATACTAGACACTTCATCTTCAACACAGTTACCCTCTCATAGTGTCAGGTACTGTTAGTCACGCAAGGAAAGGCAGCCTCTGAATATATGTAAAGCACTCGGTGGGCAGCCTCAGGCTCCCTGGCAGCAAGGAGGGGGTTCCTGCCCAGTTCTCTTTCTGGGCCAAGCCTCCTCCTGTCCCAAAGCCCAGCTCCAGGCTGACCGGGAGCTGACATGGGTCACGGGAGGCTCCTCACGCCAAGGAAGTCCCGGGCATTTTCTGGGCCTCGGAGGGCACGTGCGTCTGCCCCGGGGGAGCTGATACCTGCCACCTCGTCCCACGGCCAGAGAAAAGCCATGGAGCGGGGCCAGTTGGGGAGGGTCCTGGGGTGGGGGCTGGCGGGGAGGGCAGGAGGGGAGACTCCTCCAATTATTGCAGTCAGGTGTCCGAGGAACACCAGGAATTCCTGGGAACCTTGGGGGGGCGGGTGCGGGAGGGCAGGGCAGAGGCTTCGTCGCTTGGTTTTAAGGACATTGGAGCACATTCTGTCCCTGGGAAACTACCTGTGGCCCTTCTCTGTTTTTACACAAAGTGTCTACCCCTCAGAGTAGACCCAGAAGCGGACAGCCTGGTATAGGACAAAATTGTGCTAGGGATTCCTCCAATTTGTGATTTCCTCCCCCCTCCCCCTGGCAAGCCACATGTGAGAAGCCAGCTTCCGCCCGTCCTCTGCCCACTTCCCCGACCGTGGGCCGGCCACGCAGCCGGTGCGCTCAGGGGGGGGACCCTGTTCCCGCCGCCCCTGTCCTTTGGGAGACCCACAGGTTTATTTCATGGAAGACGGAGTTGGTTACTTCAGGAAGCTCTTTGTGGAGAACGTGGTAGGCACCTTCGTAAATCTGCAATCGGGAAAGACAGGAAGTCAGGGCCCCAGGAGGGGACAGTGCAGGCAGGGGGCCGGGGGCAGCACGCCAGTGCTCCAGGTGCGTTGTCATCGCCTTCTGGTCAGATGATGGTTCAAATACATTTAAATGTCCCACCGTGTTCTAGCGCTCCCTTTCTTAAATCAACTCACACCCTCCCTTGACTCTCTTTCTCTCTCTAGCTACAGACCCGTCTGTGCCTCCATCTCTAAAGGGTGATTTCTACTCTCTGTCTACACATCCCCGCCTTCCATCTGGTGCTCAGCTTATTCCAACCTGCCTTTCACTCCCACCAGCCCTCAGCGAGCGTTCTTGGCATGGGCTCCAGTGACCTTCACGTCGCAGGGGTCAGGGAACACTGTTTGCTTTCATATGATTTAACTTCTCAGCTTCATTCAAAAGTTGACCAGAGTTAACCTTCTAGAAACACTCTTCCCCTGTGGTTTGCACTGCGGCTTTCTACCCTCCTGGTTGTCTACCTGCCTCGCTAGCAGCCCCGTCTCAGTCTAGGCTTACCCATGGCCTTGCTGACCTCTGCAGGCTGGCGTGGCCCACAGGCGTGGCCGTGGCCCTCCTTCTCCCTCCCTGGAGTAACCTCGTCCGTTCTCGTGGTTTGAAAACCATCCATGTGCTGGTGACTCAGGAATTTCTATCTCCAGCCAGACCTCTCTCTGAACTCTAGATGTGTATATCTGACTGACTGTTTGCCATTTCCAGTGGGACTGCTAATAGGCACCTCCAAATTTCCTTTTTTTAATACTGTGGTAAGAAACGCAGCATAAAATTTGCCATCTTAATCATTTTTAAGTGTACAGTTCAGTAGTGTTAAGTATATTCACGTGGTTGTGCAATAAATCTCTAGAACTTTTTCGTCTTGCAAAACTGAAACTCTGGCCCCGTTAAATTCCCTCTCCTCACTCCCCACTGCCTTGGGCAATCATCATTCTACTTTCTATTTCTATGGTTTTTTGACTACTTTAGATATTTCACACAAGTGGAATCATACAGTACTTTTTCTTTTGCAATTGGCTTATTGTACTGAGCATAATGTCTCCAAGGTTCATCCATGTCATGACGTGAGTCAGAATTTCATTCATTTTTAAGGCTGAACACTATTCCATTATTGGTCTAGACCCCATTTGATTTATCCACTCAACCATCGATGGACACCTGGGCTGCTTCCACCTCTTGGCTGCTGTGAATAATGCCTCTATGAACATGGGTGTGTGAGTATCTTTTAGAGACCCTGCTTTCCTTTCTTTTTCTGAATTTCTCTTTCTTTTCTTTTCTCTTTCTTTTATTTTATCTCTTTTCTTTCTTTCTTTGTTTCTTTGTTTGTTTCTTTCTTCTCTCTCTCTCTCTCTCCTTCCTCCCTCCTCCTTCCTTCCTTCGTTCCTTCCTTCCATTCGGAGAGAGAGAAAGCGTGGGGGGCGGGGGAGGGGCAGAGGGAGAGTGAGAGAATCTCAAGCAGACTCCACGCTCAGCGCGGAGCCTGATGCGGGGCTCGATCTTACAACCCTGAGATCATGACCTGAGCTGAAATCAAGAGTCAGATGCTTAACTGACTGAGCCACCCAGACACCCTGGTCTTTTTTCAAATTTCTAATAGAACTCTCTAATAGGTAGCTCAAAATGGAATTCTCAATATTCCCTAGCTCTCTCTCCCAGTGTTCCCCATTTCAGAACACATGCTGCGAAGCCCACCGCCCGGGGCTCGCCCTGGTCCCTCTATCACCGTCCCTCCCGGCTGGCCTCCGCCCTCTACTCCTGTCTCCGTATGGCAGCTGTGAGGACGCCTGGAGAACTGAAGTCAGTACAGGCCGCTCTCCAGCTCCAGACGCTCCTGCGGTCCCCATGGAACGGAGAGAAAACGTCCTGACTCTCCAGGGACACAGGCCACCACTCCCTCGATTGGCTCACAGCGCCCCCTGTTGGCTGCTCACACACACCGCGATCTCACCAACCTGGGGTCTTCGGGCTCGTTCTCCCTTGGTCAGGAATGCCCTTCTGCCATTCTCCCTGTGCACCCCATCTGAAGTAAGAGCTTCACCATTCCCTCTGATCACCCAGCCCACCCGTGGCACCGACCCCCTGCATCATCATCCTGGTCAGGTTTCTGTTTATTGCTCATCCTGCTGGGACGCAGGTCGCATGGGAGAGTCGGACTTGGCCTGTCGGTTCCCCCGGCCTGGCACAGAGTAGGTGCCCATGAGTAGCTGAATTAATGATGAACTGAGTGGTCTTCCTGGTGCCAAGGCCAAGGTGGGCAGCGGGAGGATCCCACCCCGGCTGCAGGTCCGCCTGCCTTTTCACGCCCTCCGCCACTACCACGAGCCTGCTTTCCTTTCCCTTTTCTCCTTTCTCTTCATCCACGAATCTGCATCTGCTGGTTGGTGCGGGCCGGGGTCTGCACTTCCTAATGGTACAAGGGGAGCACTTGATGGTTGGCAGGGATGCGAGCGTCTCTGTCAGCGAGGTGCGGGGTGGAGAGGGCCGGGGGCTCGAGCAGAGGACCTGAGTTCGAATCCCGGCTCCACCCCTGAGTAGGTGTGGGCTCTGTGCGACTTGCCTGCTCTCCTTATAACCGAGCAGGAAATGCCCTGGACGCAGGGCCCCCACGTGTGGTTGCTCAGGCTGTCGCAGCACGGTCAAAGACATGTCTGCTCGGGAGGGCACCCCGGGGCTGTGTCTGCCCAGCCAGCCACACAGAGCCATCTTCAGCTGTGTCGCTTGACGGGCACACAGCAGGTGCTCCTCCGGCGGGGGCTCTTCCCAGTTCCACCAGGCAAACAAAATGGGCACATCTTAACCCCATGCCTACATCTGCCATCGCAAAAGGTGCGCCGAGGGGGTCCCTTGCAGTTTGTTGCGTCTGACACGGCCACAGGTGCTGTCCCCTCTGCAGGACATGCTCTTGAGTCCCTCGCAGGGCCCCCGCCCCTTTGTGCTCAGAGCCGGTGGTGGCAGCTGGGCTGGAGCTGTTGCTGCTGGTGCAGAAGGCCAGCGCGTAGGGAGGCCGGGCAGAACACACGCCCTTGACCCTTGGTCATGACAGAGCTGAAGACATGCCCTCGGGAGGCCTCTTCTGCTCAATGCCCGGCTGTGGGTGCTCTTCCTGACCCGACAACTTCTCAGTGTTCCCTCCTCCTTCCTTTCAAGCTCGGTCATGAGAACGGTCAGCTAGTGGCTCATGCACTCCCTTAGAATTAACAGATGCCTGGGATTCCTGGTGCTTATTCCCCAGGGGGGCCCCATGGGGTGCCACCTTCCCCCCTGCCTTGGGGAAGTGGGGGGGCAGCTGCTCACCTTGAGTGTCTTGTCCTGGCTCTTGGCGGACTCCATGAGCAGGTAGGCCCCTTTGCTGTCACAAAGGCCGTCGGCAGAGCCCTGGAGCAGCAGGAAGGGCAAGGTCAGCTTGGGGAGGGCCCGCTCCACCCGCGCGACGGCGTTGAGCAGCTGGATGACGAAGCACACCTTCAGCCCTGCCCGGCAGTTGAGCGGGTCCGAGTTATAAAGGTCCACCTGCAGGTAGAAGAGAGAGCGAGTTCCATCAGTTTGTGGCTAGGGGGCGGGGGGACTCCCTGTCCAGAGGCACAGACCTATTCCCTGGTAGTCTTCCTTCCACTCCAGCCTGAGCGGCTGATTCCATTCGAGGGAGCTCGGTCTGGGGTGTGGGTGCCGAGAATGGGCAGCATGGCCGGCCCTTCCAGAACCCGGACCTGCACTACTTCTAGTGCCTCTTGTTCCAGGCTCTACTGCCTTCCACATTCATACATGTGCCCACAGACAGTTCCAAAGCAGGCACTTGTCATTTAAAAGATGTGAGCAGCATCATATTGTTTGCCTTGATGATTTCACTCAGGAATAGCTCCAAAGATGTTTTGGTGTTAGTTTGTGTGGATTTTGTTTTCTTCCTCGACTTAGTGTCTGCCCGTTTGGAGTGGGTAAGGAGCCCACACGCACTGCTGGAAGGCCCGGGGCTGGCAGGAGGGGTCCTGAAGGCACACAGGGTCCTGAAGGCCCTGCCCCATGAACTTTAGGAGCAGCAAAGCTCACGGCAGGTCTGGGCTGCAGAGGTTGCCTGCCACCCTGACAAGGAGCCTGTTGCCACCCTCAGTCATGTCTGCCCCCTCGTGGGATGTGCCTGGAGGCGCATCCTCCCTCCTAACCATCAGCCCACTGGACCTGACCCTGACACTGTCCCTGTTCACGGCTCATAAGCCTACCCAGGCTGCTCTGGCACCCTGTCCTGCTCTCTCTAGCCCAGATTAGTTTCTGCCTTGACTCCTCCTGCCTTTGAAGGGACAGTGAGCTGCCTGCTTACTATGGCCTGAGATGGGGCATCTGTCAGAATTTGGGTAACAAGTTTCTAGAACTCTCTGAGGCCCATGGGGGCAGGTGTGAGACCACAATGCCCCTTCACCACTTTCCTCCTCCTTGCCAATGGGTTCTTTCTTAGCTAGTTGGAGAAGTGCCCTGTGGTGTCAGGACCAGGTGAGGGAGCAGAGAAGCCACGGGGACAAGGCGTATGGGAACAGCTGTCTCGTGAGGCCGCCAGAGTATCCACTGTGTTCTGACTCTGATTCTTCGAACGCGGGAGCTCCATCTCCCCTTCTTCACTAACCCCTACAGGGCCTGAGCCAGAATCCTAGATCCGTGCCATGAGGAGACAGGCTGTCCTGGGTGGCCCGTGCCATCCCCAGATTCCTCCCATGCTGGGGGACTGAGCATGGCCAACCAGACCATTCGAGAAAAGCCACACGAGAGGGATTAGCCACTCCCTGCAGCTGAGCTGGTGTGACTCCTGCAGGGCCGGGCCATCTGTCTGAGGGCTGAGAGGATGGGACTGGAGGGGGCAGTGTGGGGGCAGCGCATGGCCGCAGCAGGAGATCATTCGGGGTCTGTGAGGAAACCTGCTTCGGGAGAGGGCTATAGCGTCCACGAGAGAGCCCTGGGCTGGAAGTCTGTCGTAAACTGACGCTAATAGGAACAATGGCAACTGCAGCACCCATGACCCGACACATACTCTGTGCTCAGCATGGGGCCAGGGTGTCACATGCAGGATCTCATTTGGTAAAAAGAAATAAGGATAGCTAACATTTATTCTGAGCTCTCCTTCAAGTTTGGCACTAAGTGCTCAACCCGTTTCACCTTCACAACCTTCATAAGCACGCTGTATGAGGAGGAATGGCTCTCGTGATCCCTGTTTTGCAGAGGAAGAACCTGTCATTAGTTTCCCAAGTCTTGTTCTCCCCTATAGAACCCTGGGTGTTTAGTGGGCAATAGTACCGCTCAGAAGAAAGGACTACATTTCCCAGCCTCCCTTGCAGTGGTGTCATCATGTGACCAAATCCCAGCCAATAGGAAGTGAGCAGCAGTGCCAGGCGCACCCTCTGGTCAAGGCTTGTCCTCCTGTTGCCCCTTTCCCTCGTCCCACCGGCGAGGGCGGAACACGGGTGGAGTAGGGAGAGAGGTGAGACCACACAGACGAGGGCTGCACCCTGGAAACGGTGAGCAAAAAGATGGGTGCCGGGGTGCCTGGGTGGCTCAGTCGTTAAGCATCTGCCTTCGGCTCAGGTCATGATCCCAGGGTCCCGGGATCAAGCCCCACATCGGGCTCCCTGCTCGGTGGGAAGCCTTCTTCTCCCTCTCCC